CCCCGGTTCCGGAGAAGCTGGAGTGGCTTCACCCTGAGCGGTCGCGGCGAGAGCGGCGAGCCGCCTCCACCGCCCACGAGGTCGTCCAGTAAATCCCAAAGAGGCAGCAAAACGTCGCTGCAAACATCATCATCGAGACCGTCTCCACCTGCCAGACAACTTACTACCTTGGATACCCAACTAGCAGTGCTCAGGAGAGAAATGGTATTATTCCGAAAATTGTTTTCACTCTTTTATCTCTCCGTTAACATCGCGCTCTCGTTATTTTAGTCGTAAAATGTATTTCTCGATGTTTCTCGATGTCTCGTGAAAATGATAGTTGCTGCGCAATATAGAACTGGTTTGCAGACTATCAGGATTTTTTTTCTGATTTTTAACATCTAGTGACGTTAGTTATTTATATACGATAAGATAAGAGATATATATGTTCAGAAAGAGAGAGAGAGAGAGAGAGAGAGAGAGAGAGAGAGAGAGAGAGAGAGAGAGAGAGAGAATCTTTGTTACAATTTTCCCAAGAAAGTTGTAGTCTTTAAAGTAATGATACTCAATCGTTCAATGATTTAGTAATATAAAATTATTTTATTTTTTTAAGGATCTTTAGGCAAACGAAATGCAGAAATACGGAGAATGATTAATTTATTTTGACACGATAAAATAATGTGCAATCTGGATGGAGAAATAAAATGTTTTAAGAGTTTTGCGGATGCGATTTTTAGATGACTGAAGCAACTGAGAGTGATTAGAAATGAATAATTGAAATCTTTTACGATTAGAAAATTATTTGACCATTGGATTGGATTTTACGGCACGTGTAGCAGAGTATCACTCGACATGCGGTCAGTAAATTGTCGATGCGATTCAAATTGGTGCCTGAAATTGTGCATCCCATAATGGCAGCCATTAACTCTAATAGAAACCATTAGTCATCTATCACGGCGCGAAACGTATATTTACGAGCATGTACAGGAAAATTCCACGCCTACGCGTGCAACAAGCACGTGCGATTTCAGAATGATCATCGAGATTCTTCCGCTGTCATCGATCGCGACGGAAGCTGTAACAAATTATTCGCACGACTCTCATTTCTGTAAACCACATTTGTGTATCATTTGAATTTTTTAAACATGACACAAAGTGTTCGCGTGTTTAAAATATTTTTCAAACTTTTATTCTATCCATATTGGTTTTGTGTCTATGATCCAGTTTCTATCGAAATCCTTAATTCAGTTTTACTTCGATACTTAGATCATTTTTCTCTTTGTTATGTTTCATAATTTTTATTTCTTATTTCGGATAATATTTTTTTTTGGTTTTCTAATTCTTTTTATATTATCTTTGTTATTTTTGTTTACAAATTTAATTTTTTTCTTTTAAATAGTTTCGTCTTTTGATTTTTACTTGGAACTATTCCTTGTCTTTTAAACTTCGATCCTTGCCACTCCTTATCCTCGATATTCCGTCGCGTCAGTCCGATCACGTTCCGCGAACCTTCATTTTCCTCTCGGTCGTCGTTGTCCACCTCTGTTGCTCTCCTGTCTGTTTCTCCCGATCCTTCCGCGTTTGGGCGACCCGGATGACCCGTTACCTCGAGGCCGCGATCGCGTGAGTAAATTGCGCCGCACGATGAGCGTGTATTTTATGCGTGGGATCATAAGCAGCGAGGGAAACCAGAGTATATCATACCGCGATAGAGAAAGACAGGACGCGCTTATATCACTCAACCGTGCGGAGGCGCCGCTTTTTAATAGCTATATTACCTTGCAAGTTTGCTGCGCAAACATACTTCACATGCCTACTGATAGTTACACGTATTCATCTACGTCGATTAACGATTGAAATTCTAAAAGGCTTTGTGTTTATTTCAAATAAAATTACTACAATATCTCTTGGCGTACATCTCATTAGTAGCTCAACAATCTCATTATCGCGTCGACGACTAATGATTGAGATTCTAAAAGACTGTTTATTTCAAATAAAATTACTATCTTTTTATGTACATCTCATTAGCAATTCAATTTTATCGTCGCTTTGCAACTACGTAGAAAGTATTTTGCTGAATTATATGAGAATCTCAAATATGATAGCATCTTATATAATTATTTTAATAGTCAAACGAAATTTATTCAGACTTGTATTTAACTGAATTTTTAGAATATTTTAACAAAACCGTTCTTTTCGTTAGAAATTTGAACGTCTCATTGATTCAGCGATCGCTATATATTCGTTTCGTATAAAAATATTGTCGTATCATGCCGACGTTTGCACCACGTTTGCATGGCATTGCGGCAATCTTCCCGAAATTAACTGTAACGGGATCTTGAGTAGGATCTCTCCGAGGAGAAGAGCTCTCGTGATGAACTCTTGTTGGATCTCCGTTCGCGTCAACATCTCGACTCGCGTATCTAAGTTGGGCTAATAATTTAATAGTCAATCCAGACACGGGAAGCGAGTTCGTACAGCCGCTCCCACGCTACGTTCCCTCAGGCATGATTTTACTCCTCTGTACCCTTTTTCTCGCTCCTTTTCACCTTCGTTCTCTCTTCTGCTCTTCGTCATCGTCCCTCTTCTAGCTTCATTTCTCTTCGTCGTGTTGTCCGCTCGCGTCTCTCATATTCTTCTCGTTCTCCTTTTCCACGTCTCTCCTATACAACTCCCTCTTCCTCAGTTCCCACGGCCAAGCAGCCGCCAAGCTGCTTGGAAATGCGTCGTTTCAGTTCGTAAATCACGAGGTAACATTTACCTTGGAGACCGTATGGTAAAAGTGAATGCGTTCCTCCAGCTTCTATATATTGAACTCTATGTGAAATTTCGCAGCAATCCATGATGGCGAATAATGAAGAAAAGTCACGGGGTTACGAAAAATAATGATCGTAGAATCTCTTTAATAAATATCTAAAAGTCAATCTTTTATAGAATAAAATTTATGTAAGCAGTAACATTATTATCTAAGTATTTTATATATTTATTTCTAATTCGAAATCGAGATGTTGTAAAATTCGAGTTAACTTAGTTTTCAATATCATAAAACAATATATAGGCCTCAAAGCGATAATTGCTTATACACATATTTTACGTGTCTATCGTAAAATCTCACTGCAATATCACAATCTTTTTTTCATTTTCAATTTTCAGTGCATTACAATAATTATTACTTTCGCATTTGCAGTTTGGTCTGCGGCAACTCGATCTCTCGTTATTGTCGCAATTGTGGTCCTTGAACGAGTCGATCCAGGAGTTCCGACAATTACTGCAGGAACAGGAGGATCGAGCGCCTTCACCGTCGCCCAGCAGCGAAGAAGGAGAAGATATGACTTATGGGGTGCATCCGCCGCCGCCACCAAGAAGACCGGCACCCACACTACATCATCGGCCGCCACGACCTCCCAGGCCACCCAGGCCATCAGCCAGTGACGAGTCACCATCGAGCGAGGAGTATGGGGCCGTTTGACGTATCGTCACTGAGAGGAAGAAGTACTCAAAAAGGTCTCGGTCCTCTCATCGCACCTAGAACGGCGTTCCAGCGAGCGCCAGTATCTCCGAAACATGAGAAAAAAACCTCAAAGACTTTCGTGAAAATGAAAACTACTATCAAAATTGGTGGTCAAGATTTGCGCGTGCACGCGCTTCGTGATATTCGATTGCGAATTTCTGATTCCTAAGAAGTACCTGCAACGTCGCTTGCAGAACCATTCGAGATCGTTCTTTAATTTGTGACCGGAATTGATGATCGAATCGGTCGGTTGGCTAAAAGATTATTTCGCGGTAGATTAGTCGTGGTCGCGCGTACAGTACTATCTGCGTAACTATCCGGAGAAGTTGTCTGCTTTTCCCGCAGGCCGTCGTTTAGAGAACTATTCGAGATTATCTGTGACCGCTATTTCAGCACGAAAAGATTGATGATCGAATCAAAACTCGACGGTGGAAGACCGCAGTAGTTCAGCCGCCAATACGCGAAAGTTGTTTCACATATGCAAGATAATAATCACTTCTCACAGAACTTCTGCCCGGAGAAGAGCATCGACTTGCCAATTTGCAATAATGACATTCCGTATATATCGCGCTCTAAATAAGGAAGGACTCGATTGCCGCGAGCGAGAGAGCTGACTTCAGCTCGGCGCGCCGCTCTCCTCTCTACTTGTGATAACGCTCGAAGGGGCCTTTGATTAATGATAATCGCACCCATTTGTGCGGATTAAGATTTCTCCGCGACTCCGCTCTGCTATAGAGCAATTGTAACAGATCCGAGCCCAAAGCATCGCGATTTTTTCGTGTTGTGATCCAAGAAAAGACGTGATTCTTTGGCATCATCAACCGAGAAACAGCGACTGGTGAAAGAATCACAGTGTTCTCTTCTCTTCCATGTTTTTTAATATTGTTGCATACCCGTCGCAAAACTTATCCTCGTTGCTGCCGTCGGGTTACCTGCGCAATTAGATCTGCCATACACGCGAAGAGAATGGATAAATTTAATATCTTTTAAAAGCAATATTTAACAGAATTTGTAAATGTTTGATTTCTAGACATTACAGATATATAAAATAAGCCTTATAGGTATATAATATCTTACAGCAAATCTTCGCGTGTACGGCATTTTTGGGAAAACGAAAATTGTCAATGTTCCACGACGCCCTTTCGTGTAGATTAGAACTGTGTAAAGATATGTAAGACTATGTGCAAAATAAATGAGACTTAATTTAAATATACGCTGACTCGTAACAAGCGTTACGTAATGCAACTACGTAATACAACCTTTTCTTGTATGCATCGTTGTTCTGACACAGATAGTTAGCAATCGACAATGCTGCACCTACTTGCATGTATGCAAATTGCATCTCGTTCCGATGCAGGGTGTGTGCGGAAATAAATAGTGCAATAGCAGGACAATGAGGACAAAGAAATTGCTGTATGAGACTCTTGCGTCATCCAAGATGCTGCAATAATTCGTATTATGCTTGTTTCGATTGCATACTAATTAAATTTTTTTTCTATTTAATCCTCGATATAACATTAATTTGTAAATTATAAGACATGATGAGTTACATCTCAATATTTTTGCATACATAACATTTTTTAATCAGTAAAAATTTTCTGATTGTTTAACATTGTGAATTTGATTTACACGATTAGGTTGCATATTTTTTCTACTTGACTTTTATTTATTTTTTTTTTTCATGTATTACATAGTTGGCACTATTAAAGAAGAATTCTCTTATAAACTTTCATATGAAGAAATTTGTCGATGAACGCTGCGATTCGAACATTTTCTCCGCTTAGTCTATTGTATTTTTTTTTTTATATATATTCATGCACAATTCATACATGTTGCTCCTCAATACCGTCAACGCTTTACACAAACGAAAAACACTGGCAAAGGCGAAGCAGTCAGAGCTAAGTTATCTAAAAACATATTATATAACGTAAGATTTTTTAAACTAATTTTTGCATAAATATTTTTTTCAAAATTGTTATAAGAACATCATAAAAACGAATTATCTTACATAAAGAATATCGAATACGTACACAAGATAAATATCACAAACTTACCAATAAAAAAAGACTCTATTCATATAAAGAAAAGTGCACACGTCATCGACGAATTAACATGACTTGAAGACTTGACATAAAAAATGTGTCACGTCCCAGAAAGTTTATTTTTCTTTCAAAAATTCCCATTAGTACTTAAAAGCTAGTAACAAACTGTAATTGCTGTATGAGCAAATTTATGATATGCAAAATGAATACGAAGAACATTCTTTTAGTGTCTTCTCGGACAAATGTATATTACTTTTGATTCTTTTTTGTTTTTTTCTTTTATCTTATTTTTGGTATTTGGCTGACTTTTCCATTTTTTTGTCCTGTCTTCATGTATTCTTAACAATTCATCCACTGGGACACATCCATACAGAAAAAAGCTTAATTTGCCCGTTTTTCAAACGGTTCTGCGTCGTTGCATTGATCGTGTAGTTCATTAGTGTAAATGTCTACTTTAATACTAGAACTACCGATGATTAATTTCTATCATTTAAATATTTTATACATATCTCTGAAAAAACATGAAGAGGAAAAAAATTGATCAATTTAGATCTCATAGATTTTTACAAATTGCAATAAAAATAACAAGAAACTTAAAAAAATGCGTTGTCATAAATAATTAAAAAAAAAAATTACAAACTAATTTGACTACGTTGATAGTTCCAGTGTTAAAGTCTTTAATACGCGGAATAATTTCTGCGCGAAACTGTAAATGTGGTCTTGCAAATTTCTCTTGTTATTTCGGAATGATATGCGATAGAGAAGCATGCAATGTCTACAAAAAAAAAACCGATGAAAAATGAAGAATCATCACCTGTAGCCTCTCGGGAATTATTGACGTGATTTAAGAAGAAATTGATCTCTATTGATCTCATGTAGTGAATATAACACATAGAGAACGTCATCTAATATACGTAGAAAGTTTTTCTCTAATCATACATTTATGAAAGATTGTTTAAAGTCTCACGATCCCTTCCGGATCCACTTGTGAAAGCTCACGCGTTTTTATTTCCATTTAAAAAAATACCAATTCACGCTTGATACGCAGATATATGTCGCAAAGTGGGCATCATAATTAAATGAGTACATTGTATTAAACACGTTACGCAGGATATTTCTTAAGTATTGCCTAAAATTTTAGAAAATCTTTATTAATTTTAAATTAATTTTCTTACAAATAGATAAATTTTAGATTTTAGGAATTGGTATTTTTTCTTTATCATTCTATAAAGAAAAATTCATATAAATCTCAATAGCCTCTCATATCTCAAAAGCCTTGAGAGTCAGAGATACGAGTATGATTACAAATTTTGTAAAATTATCTTTTCTTTTTAAATAGAATCTTCTGTATAAAAAAAGATTTCTTTTTCAAACATACTTCAAGATTTGATTCTGTTGACTGATATAAGTTCGTAGCAGTAATGTATTGTAAATCTTAAATCCCATTTGTACCTCATTGCTTTTTTACAAAGCGGCAACTAAAAATATGAAAAATGAAGATAATACCTTATTTATTTATTGACTCGAGTTTGGGAAAAATATTTTCTTATTTATGAGCTATTAAAAGCTTAATTAAAAGCAATAACCATATAAAATTTTTAATACCCTTTGAGATTACATGTTCAATTTTTTTTTGTAAAATGACTTCAAAAATCAATTCTTAAAATATTAATACGTAAGAAATATTCTGTATAAGTGCTATGAGATAATTTTCTCATGGGGTAGTAACTCCATTTTACGAGATACTCGAGCAATATATCGAATTACTTCCTACACATTCATAAAAATGCTTTCATACTTTTGAGCTGTGCATCTTCCATCAGGTAGATATATCTCCTTTCTTCTTCATTAATAAAAATATTTTTCCCTTATAAACGTATAAACGTTACTTCATTATTCTGATTGTGAGTATTAACCAAATAGTTTCAGAAGAAATTAGCTTAATGCGCGCGAGATATTCCCCTTTTCGGAGAATTGAAACGATCCACGTTATCTCACAGCTTAGAAACAGATGAATTATTATTTCTGAGAAATGCAATACGTTATTATTATTGTTCCAAGATATTCGTATATGGAAGATGCCCAAGGAACATTTCACGAAAATTTGCAACGGATCCGAGAGAGTCGGTGGACCATTCGTACGATACATACATCGTATAATTCGTAAATGTGCATCGTGCCCTTTACAACGGCACTAAAAATGCATATACATTTAATTTCCATTTCAAACAGACTTTTAAACAATCAGCGTCCCGCTACTTTCTTCTCAACGAGAAATTTCTAACGGCCCCTCTCTCTTTCTCTCTCTCTCTCTCCCTCTCTCTCTTTCTTTCTCGCTCTCGCTCTCGCTCTCTCTCGTACGCACGCATACTTTGTACTGATCTTCAACCATGATAACGATTAAATCACATTGAAGTCTAACATTATTAGGTATAGTTACCTTAACAATGAACTTACTGACTAATACTTAACGATACTAATAATAAATATATGTTGCCTTCTTCGGCGACTTTTTAAAGAGAACAGTGACGCTCCAAAAATTTGGAAAATAAAAAATTGATTCTTCTGGATGGATACTTCTCCGTTATTTTGCTTGACGCTCTTACATACAGTTTGACATTTTATTCTAGATATCTCATTGTCTGTTTTTCGATCGACATTTTTTTTTCTTCGTATACCTAATTTAAATCAATAAATCCACTAAATATAAAAGATGAAAACATCGAGTAATAATAAATTACTATGTAAAATATTTAAGTTTAGGCTGAATTGAAGATCTTCTAACTTGCTAAATAATTGTACAAATAATATGATAAATGAAAGTAGCAACGCCATTGTTGAAGTGCAATATTTTAAAATAGTATATAGCCATATTAAAATGTTGCATTTCAATTAACAATCATGTTGCTATTCCTATTTGCCATATTATTTCTACGTTTATTATCGAGAGTTCTGTATTTCAGTTTATTTTGTTGTGCTAAATAATTCTATTACATGCTAAAAATGAAAATATTGTGAAAAATCTTCTATTTTATTAAAAATTAATAAAAATTGAAAACGATCATAAAAATTATTGACTAAAATATATATGATAGTTATATCAACATCCTGTATTTTATATACATAAAAAACTCAAATATTGTTAAAAAAATAATACACATAAAATAACTCAATTGTGATACATTTTATTACACACTTTCAAAAAAATATTATAAAAGTGTAAAATTAAAGTATAACAATCCATTAATAATCTATCGCAATTTCTACTTTTTCTTTTCCGAGATTGGTTTCATATAATTGTGATTAGCATTATGCATGATTGCATTTTAAAGAAGATAAGCGAAAGAAGATAAGAACCTTGTAAATTCGCAATGAAATTTAAGTTAATTAAATTCATGATTTAATTTTGTAAAAACAAACAATTAAAACTCATTGGTCATAAAATAATATACGAAATAAGAAAAAACACATTTACAGTAATTCGACTAATAATCGAATCTTCTGAACAATAAATAATGTATTAATAAAACACTATCGCTGATTATATCTGGATTTATCGATAATTCATTAATTCCTTCGTTACTGTTTTCGAGACTATTTTTCTTAACGATGTACTGTCGATCGATTGTGTAATCATTTAATTATTCACAACACATAGCGTATAATTCTCTTTCTCCATTTTGTTCAATATTTTACTGTTTCATTTATGATGAAGAATAAAGATCTAAAAATATCTGAGCTACGTGAGTATTTCGTGTCCATCCAATGAGGAGGTACAATAAATTACACAATAAAATTACATATGATACAATTACGTATGGTACAATTTAAAAATAACATAAATAATGAGAATATAAATTGTTAATCGGAAAAGATAAAATTTACATATTATTTGAACGAACATTATAGATATACTAAAATGGTAAATTACAACTTTTGTTTTTAGAGTAAAATTGAGCGTTGATATAAAGCGATTTCGCGACGCGGCCGAAATTTTTAGCAGAAGAAATATTTTCTCGCTGATTACACATACACGAAGTGAAAAGAATCTGAAAGCGAAAATAATCTTTCGTACGAACGTCTATTTCAGGAACGATTGATACGTGTATAATGTATGTACATGGAATTGAACATGTACAATACAATGAGCGACTTCATGCGCCCAAAAATATTAACT